TTACACACAAGCGCAGGGTGTCACTTCAATCCAGTCGACAAGTCCATGTTCAACCAAGCGGACAACGCCAGTTCATCTGTTCCTCTTGAGTCCTCGATCCTCGCTAAGACTGGCATGCCTCAACGTGCGCACTTTGCTACAGATTGGCCAACAGACAGTACTTGCCCGAACACTCGAGACCCTATCGATCGATATCTGCTGTTTATCGGAAACTTGCCTGCAAGATTCGAGCTCCGTGCTTACTCTGCGATCCCCCACATGCAACACTGGTGGCACATTCTCATTGCGCCTGTCTGGCGATGACGCAGCTTCAAGTGCAGGGCAAGCTGGCGCCGGCATTGTTTTGAGTCCCCGAGCTGAAGCTGCCCTGATTGACTGGATCCCAGTCAACAGCCGGATGTGCGCCGTTAGATTGTCTGGTTCGTTCCAAGCCTCGAAGTCGCACGGGGAGAAACGGTGCCTGTTTGTCACTGCGGCTTACGCCCCCACAAACTGCAGCCCTGATTCAGTGAAATATGATTTCTATCAACAACTTGTCTTCTTCGTTAAAGAAAAAGCAAGGATACTGTGGTGCTTGCTGGTGATCCAAACGCTCAAGTCGGAAAATTATCCTCTGATGAGCTTCGTCTGGGTGGCCTACGTGGTATAAGCTCGCGTAACGATAACGGTTGCTGCACCTGTGTGAAGGTGCTCGTCTCTTTCTCGCGAGCACTAACTTTCGACAGCATCAGCAGAAGAGTGACTTGACGCCCACCAGCTTCGCACCAGCCATGGGCGTAAATCGATCACATCGCGATTAGTTACCGCTGGAGAGGCTGTGCCCAAAATGGTCGCTTGATTTGGAGCACCAGCGTGAACTCTGATCACACTCTCGTGTGTGCCGACCTGCGGCTGCGTTTCGGTGGACCTCTGAAACGTCGATCTGAACTCATTCACACAAACCAGCTGACGAAACCATGTGTTCTGAATACATATCAAACTACGCTAGCATCTGGGCTAAGTAAGCATCCATTGAATACCGTCGAAGATCGCTGGTCCCATATTCGTCAAACGTTACTATCAGCAGGCATGTCTTCATCTGACAAATCAAATTGCTAATCTAGACATTGGGTCGCTACAAAGTCTCTGGAACTTATGGATCATCGCGGACGCATTCTGGCTAGAAGCGAATACAATGAGACTCGCAAAAATCTCAGGGCAAAACTACGTGCTAGCCTGAAGAGCGACCGCGAAGTCTGGTGGTCCCGTCGTGCATCAGAAATGAAAACATGCTCTGCCGTTGGTAATAATCGTAAGTTATTCCGTCTGATACGGGAAACAGGCAGCAGGAAACCTGATGTTAACGAGACCATACGCGACAAGAGTGGACAGCCGATCTACAGCTTGTCAAAACGCTTGTGAGCGTTGGGCCGAACACTTTGCAAGGCAGTTTAATCAATCTGGGTTATCACTTTCTCTTTCGGACATTGAATAACATTCTCCATTAGCCGTCTCCTTAGATGCGCCCTCATGCGCATAAGTCGAAAGTGAGATCAGACTGTTGAAATTGTATAAGGCCGCTGGTCCAGATAGAACTCCCCCAGCTCTCTACAAATTCGGGGTACCTGCTTTTGTAAATGATTTACACGAGTTGCTAATGGAATTTGTTAGTAGGAAATTGTCCCTACAGGCTGGAGCCGCTCCGTCATAGTTCCAATTTTCCAGTGAGACTCCCGTTCAGGATGCGGTGACCATAGAGGGATCAGTCTGATCACAGTTGCCTCTAAATTGCTTGCCTCTGTTGTTCTCCACAGACTGACTGGCACTCCTGAAGGCCAGATCAGCTAAGAGCAAGCCGAATTTCGTCGAAATCGAGGCCGCATCAACCACAATTTTACTTTGTGTCAATTACTGGATCACCGTCATATTTATTGGCGACCCACCGTTGTGATGTTTCTCGACGTAAAAGGTGCCTTCGATTCGGTGGCTCGATGCGCACTTTGGGACTGTCTGCTGAGAAAAAGTGTGCTTGATAAATATGTAAACATTATCAAAGCGCTGTACGCGCATAGTTCGGCAGAGTGAGAGTTTATGGCAAACCGTCGCCCCCCTTCAATATCTCCAGCGATGTGAGACAAGGTTGCCTGTTGTCACCTTTCCTCTTTACTTTCGCTACTTATGAACTCATGGAAATAGTGTTCGCTAGACACGATGTAGAAAGTGTGGAGCTACCTGCTAGTGAGCGACTTCTTGACTTGGAGTGTGCGAACGACATTGCCCTAATCTATGACAGCGCCCAAACGTGACAGGCTGCACTGGTCCGATTAGCACTGGCTGTTAATAGTTTTGGGCTATGCTTTGCTGCATCAAAATTCACGGTTCTTCTCCAACATTGGCAGGGACCCAATCCTGCGCTAACGCTTGGTGGTGATTTAGCAAGAATTCGTTCAGGAATTCAAGTACCTAGGCAGTTATATTGGCGCCCGATATCGGAAGTGAGATTACGAACCGTATAGCAAAAGCTTGAGGTGCTTTTGCCAATCTCCGCCACCTGTGGCGCAGACGCGACATCACTCGCCCTGAAGGGCAGAGTGCATAAGGCAGCCGTCCGTTCAGCCCTTTTATACGGTTGTGAAACCTGGTCCATCAGGTTTATAGACATAAAGAGGTTAGCCACGCTCGATCATCGCTGCCTCCGCAGCTTAGCTCATGTCTGGTGGGAACACCGCGTGAGCAATGAGCGGGTTCGGCGTCGCGTATTTGGCGCAGGAAGAGCTAGTGAACCGGTCAACACCATTATATCACGTACCAGACTCCGATGGCTGGGCCACGTGTTGTGCATGCCAGCACACCGACTCCCGCGACGTGCAGTTTGCGCACCGGGGGTGCGGCCAAGCGATGGCGGTCGAGAGAAATGAAAACTCTCACTTCGAATTTGGCGTCGGTTGATGCATCCTGATTGCCTGGCTGGGGTCCTAAGGGCGACGAACACGTTTGGTTAGACACACTTGCTGATATGGCTAGGAGCCAGCCCCAATGGCGTTTGTGTTTTGAGTTCATTTGTCTACTCCCATCTGCTTAGCCTCCCCTCCAATCACGATCACATTCGTTAGGCATAATATAATTCTTGGCGACACGATAGCCGGGTGTTAGCTCTCCGGAACGATGTTCATCCGTTACTAGGGGCACAGCCGGCGTCCCACTGTTGTTTTTTTCTTCTTGTCGTTTGTATTGCGGCACAATAGCTGAGATGTTTTCCACCTGCAGCTAACGTGTATAATGATGATGGCAACCACTCACTGTTATCATTACAGAAGCGTACACCGTGTTGGTCGCCCAGACGCAGTTCACCGGTAGACAATTTTCCGACTTGAGCAGTAAAAGCATTAGCTAGCACTCCGCGCTTCTTCGTGACTTAGGAGTTCATGGAATTTATGATAGAAGTTATCTTTGATTGAGCCACTGAACCGGCAAAACTTCGAAGGTATGAGCACATCCAGCTACTGACAGGGATATAGTCCACCAGAACAGTTGCTGTCCAAGATTTTAGAGCATTATACCCACCGGATTGACTGGCAATCAAAGCCACACCATCTCCGGATAGACTCAGTGTCACTTGGAAGAGATAGCAGAGTGAGCACAGAACTCGATTCTTGCAGGTGTGTTTCGAGTAAGTGGCGAATAAAGATCGATAGGGTCCCTATTGTTCGGGCATGTGCTACCTGTTGACCGATTCGTAATAAAGTGCGCACGTTGAAGCACGGCAGTTTGGTGAGGATCGATGGCTCCAAAAAAACGGGATGGACTGACGTCCGCATGGTTGGACATGGAGTTGTTTACAGGGCAGAAGTAACGGTCTGCGAGTATGTCTGAGTTGAAACTATAAGACAAACGCCTATTAAAAGAGTGGAAGAGGGGCAAGTATTGGGGGGGGGGGAACAAAAGTGAATTTGAAAGGGGTGATAAAGATGAAAAACCTTAAGGAGGGAATAAGAAGACGGGAAGACCTGATCAGCAGATAGTGCGTCACCGAGAGTCTTCTGCGATCAGGAGAGCACCAAGATAACGTTTGACGAAAACAATCAATGTATTGCATAAGCAGGATACTGTCAGGTTGCCCAAGCCTAGACAGGAGAATGTTCAGGTTTCTCAACCAGAGCCCTAGGTTTAAAAACCTAACAGCAAGGCAGCGGGAATTTGGCAGTAAGTTAAAGGGAGTCTATGTTAAGGAATAAGGAGTCACCGTAACCGTAAGCCAAATCTGGAGGACCAGGATACTGAGTTTGTCTGCCCTTTAATCATTGACCAATCTGGTATAACTCAATGAATCAGTGAGGCAAGCAACCCATCGCACCATGATAATGTCCAGTCTCATTGCGATGGTTGTCTGGCAACAGCCCATCTGGAGTCCAATGAAGCTAGTTCGTTTGTAATTAAATCGTTTACGTCCGCGGGGTCACATCCCTCGAATGTATGTCGACTGCAGATCTACGTTTGGCAGGATAAACCTAAGGTCGAGCAGCCAATGGGATAGTGAATAGGCAACGCTAAATAAATCAGAACATCTTGGTTGGCTGCTGCATGTCGGATTCGCGAATGGTGCCCGCATAAATAGCCGAAAGCGTTCATCACGAAACTGATGGTGCCCTTGAAGAGGGATCATTGCTTTATCTCGCTAAACTGAAGTGACCACAGCGGCTGGGGCCCGTGGTCTACTAAGGAGGGAAGATGAACATAAAAATATATCATGTCTCACCATGTGTTAGGGAATGCCAAGACCAAATGTTATTGACCTAATTACGATCGCATAGTTTATTGTAGTGCTTGAGACACAGTCTAACTAGAATTGACCAAAACAAAATTGGCACCCGTGGTACTGAAGGTTGGTTGTTTGTACGGGACAAAGGAATTCACGGCTGTTTTAACCAACCAGTTCACATTGAAGGAGGGTCCATTCGGTGTGATTCAAAGTTGACGAAGAGAAGAGAATATAAGCAACACGAAACAACGGGAATACGCACCGTCTGTTATCCGATAGAGTCCAAGGTCGACCGCGTACACCACGGTGGTCACCATAATACGGAGTGGGCCAGTGAGGCGGAGATGTCCAATCACGATGGCTGTGACTTTGTCTGTCGAAGCCTGGATAGCGATCGGGGTGTGATGAGTAACGTTCTCGATCGGCTGAAAAATAACCCCGATCAGGATGAAAATTTCTTGCACGAACGGGTCCTATTTGAAAGGAATAAAATGAAAATGAAATATTCGTAGAAAGTAGAAGTCACGATTAGACTTCACACAATAATCTGCCTCGACGGGGAATCGAACCCCGGTCCCGCGAAGTACCGGTCTGCTGCTCTACCACTGAGCTACCGAGGACTGACGATCATATGTAAACATATGGGAAAACGAAAAGTACGCAGTAGGCGTACTGCGAGAAAGATCTTGTACTTGATCGTCGTGTGCGCACATTGTTGGCAAAGGATTCGCCTATCCACGACACAACCTAGGTGCTGCTCCCACGCCGAAAACACTTGGAATCGCGGTCCACATTGAGAGTACGCGTCGCAATCCATTCACATACGGAGTATTTCAAATGGATTCATCCAATCAGCTTAGCTTAACCTCCATCTAGCACTCATACACTTGGAAGTAAGGATGGCGATGACAATCAGAATTTCACCTCCAATTTTATGGCCGCTTATGACAAAAGGGTGTTTAAATTAAAAAAGTCCCCGTGAGGGATAAACGGATGTGACAAAAAACAAATATCAATGAACAATTTTGATGATATCGAAAAAGTCGTGATGGAAGTGAATCAGCCCAATAGTATTTTCACATCCGCAAAAAATGGTAGCCGATAAGATCGCAGATAGCTTTCGAGAATGCAGTAACTCATCGCTTTTTCTAAGAATGAATATACGTGCTGTGCTATGTCGGTTTGAGTACACTGGTCGGATTGTACTTACGGATAAGAGGCGATGTATGAATTAACACGGTTCGCTGGATGATGACAGAATTCAAGAGAAAATAGGGCAGTGTTGATATAAACACCCACACTACACTCGGCCATTCAAGTTCACAAAAGCCAAGACTGACAGGAAATACAGAAGTGAATACGTGAAAGCCGATGCGCAGTCGTAGGTGAAACAATAAAAGGATGAAAAACGATAGCCAGAAGAGAACATTAAGGGATCTATGCAACTGACTGGATGCTGGTGATTTTCGATAGCGTTTTTCAGCCAGAGGTAATCGCAGTCCTCGAACTCACAAGGAGGAACGCTGTAGCACTACCAGCGTTGAAATTAGTGGCTTGGAACTTCGAAAGGAAGTCGTGTAGAGAGCCGGCCCATAATCTTAAGGGTAACAATCGTGCCTTGTAGTCTGAGGGCGCAGGTTCGCGCCCGCCTAGGGACCGGGCGACTCTCGCAGTGTCTTTAGCCCACGTGCGACTGGTGGTGGTTGCAGGGCAGCGAAGCGTCGGTACTGCGGACCGGCGTACTGCTGATACCTTTCCCTTATCTTTTTCGTAAAGTGAGCACTGATGTTGCCTTTCAACGACGTCCGCGCATAAAAGGAGCGCATGACAGAACAACCACACGTCGTAACCAGAGCCCTAGAATAATGACGGCGAATGACATTTTTATAGGTAACCCAAAGTTGTCCTGTAAAACGAGCGTCAGAGACAGAGTACGTGTTTGAAGCCAAGGAGTCGGTAAGAAAATAAATAAGTACCGGTTATCAAACAGAAAGAAAACAACATGAGATGAATTACGAAAATTGCTGCTTCATGTTACAACTAGTAGTGTCGAGTAGATAAATGGGGCACCACACAGATCGGTTAAGCAGAAGCAGTGGCAAGTAGCGATTTCCTCCACACTTTTTGGCATTAATTCGAACAGAGGGCTACAAAGGGATGCAGACGCAAGCGGATCCCGATACCCACAGTTCTCACCGGACATGTATTTGACCCATATCGTAACCTTTACTCAGTTGAGAAACTTCACTTTTTTGTATATTGAATAGAGCGAAATAAACATAAAGTCGGTCATTGAGATATCATGGCTTAAAATAAAGTAAAAAGTAGGAAACAAGTAGGAGAAAAGACGCAAAGAGAAAAATGTGAGGTATCGGAAATGAAACCTATACGAACCACCAGAAACTAAGCAGACTCGGAGCTTCAGGTAAAAGTGGTGGCCAATACATATATTTTTGTAAACCTTATGCAAGAAAATGTATGGAACTCAAGCAGTCCTATGCGGTGCAAAGTAAGTCCGCATCGTGTCCTCAAAAACAAAACACCGCCAATGGTGAAACGTATGAGAGTCGCGGCGTGTGACCAACATGGTTAAACGACATACATTACTACGAATAAAGACTGGGTTACTTGATGGCGAATGTGTAATAAGTCGAAGCAGCAAAAGGAAGGTTTGAAGTAACGGAACCTGGGTCTTATTATAAGGATGAGTGTGACCACGATAAAGGTGAAAATGGGTGGGTAAATGAAGTTACAGTGTATACGATTACGTGCAGCGCAGGGTGCACCGCTAGCTTAGGGATGCAGCGGATGCGTAAATTTTTATTACAGATGCCGAAGCGGAGATGAATCCACTAGTGGTTGTCAGCGAAGGTAGCCGGTTTACCGACATGCTAAACGTGCACAGTGAAAAGGCATTGCGTAATTATGAAACTGGGCGAGCATCTGAGAGAAAATGTCTGAAGGGAGCGTACGGAAATTCATCTGCTACATATAGCACTATACGGAACAAAAACGTAGCACTTCACACTGGTTACCTTTGATCACTTGTGCTTGCGTAGCATTGCACCCATTTGGTGGAAACACTGTGGTCGACACTGAGACTCATCTGCTTGTGTCTAGAAATTCACTCTAAGACGTAGCAGCGAAGTATCTGCTATACTCGAATCGCGTATGTTGGTTGAGTCAAGTGCTGCGTCTGATTGTTGGTCACCCACCTCGGGCGCACTGCTTGCCCTCTCTATACGTAGGTGAGAGGAACAGCGAGATGGACAATCGAGGACTTGACTGAGACTTGGTAGGGCTAATATATTCCGTATTCGTGGATGGGGGTGTCAGAATATGCCCCACTATAAAATATAGATATGGGATATCGCGCAGACGACATCGTTTGGTATTCCTCCTCTACTACCTAACCGTTAACAAATCAAATCGGTTAAATGCACCGATCTTTGAGTTTTAATCCTCACGTTATTTAGATTCTTGATAACACAAATCATAGTACACGACCTACTGCACTTTAGTGCACGGATCATAATTGCTTAGGTAAATGTATTTATAGGTATATTTACCTAAATAAACAGCGCACACTCAGGTCACGAGAAATCAAACACTTAACAGGGTTAAGACAACAAGAAATTGCAACAATGGTATCGAAAGTGATGTGTTCCCCGCATTGATCCTAAAACAAGTGTCAGTGAAGCACTAGAGATAATATCGCAACGAAGTGATCTTAAATGAGGTATACAGATAGTTCGACTTAGACACTAACGTGTGGAGTAAGGAGATCCGCTCTGCTGGCCTCTGAAATCTTTGCGAGAAAACTTGACATGAACGGAATTGGACGGGGGTGAGGGTAATCGATTAGTCGCGGTTGGTGTAGGGCTTTTGTTTGGAGTGCGACGTCCGTGGATGGAAGGCGATTTCCGAGGACCGAGAGTGTGACTTCGCCGCGGTGGGGAGCGTTGCGATGAGGTGGATGGTGGTTTCGCCTTGGACCGCGAACTGTCCACAGGACTAGCCGATGAGGAAGAGCTGTCAGAAGAATGTCCACCTGCGGCTCCACGAACGCGATTTTCTTCGCGCAGTCGTCTTTCCTCTTGTCGCCGAATTAGCTGGGCTTGGCGACGTAGGCCCTCTTCACGAGCCTAATGTGGGAAAACAGTCAGAAAAATGCAACAAAAGGGATTCGGAAAAGTAAAAATTAAGGAAAATGGCCAGTAGAGAGGAATATCAGCATCTCGACTGATGAGGCGGAAACGGAGATGGGTCACCATGGTGGCAACACGACTGTCACAAGGCTGGACAACAGGAGTCCCTGCTGTGGAATTCGAGTGATTAGAAGCGACGAGGTGGGAATGGCGGACAGTTGGAATAAGGATGAACCCTGTCAAATAGATTGACGGCAGACGAGAAGAAAATTGAGAGAGCGCCTAAAGTTAGGAAAACCACACAGCTGTCGCATCAATGAAATGCGAGCAGATAGAAAATGTAAAACAGATCAAACAAAAGAAATAACATGTGGGTCCGTCAGTGGGAGTGTAGTAGAGCGGAATCAATAATGGTGGGATGAATATAAAGGAGCATCCGGTCCCTCCTTGTTACGGTTGACCCGATAATGCTTTCAAAGAGGAACGGACTGGAAGGTGGTAATGAAACGTAGAAGTGCAGTCTATTAGATAAACAAAATGAGTTTGTAAAACTAACCTGGCGTTCTTTTTCTAACTGCAACTGTTTCTCCAATTCAGCTTGCTTAGCTGCATTAACTGAAAAAGGGCGCCAGTGTGGATTAGTTCGAGGGATAGTCCGTAATCGAAAATAAGAGGCGGACAAAACGGTATACAAGAAGAGCTAATGCACAAGTTGGGTTGAGGTAGTTCAAACAAACAGTGCGGTGCTGACAGATGTCAAAGGAGGAACTCAGCTACGTTCCATCGAGTGCTGCCCCAGCTGCGATTCGATTCTAGTTGTGGAGGCTAACAAGACTCGTCTCGGTGCGAAAATGAATTCACATGAACATTGAAAAACAGAGAAAGCAACCTTTAGTCAGCGATCAAAAGTCCGGTAACATCGTACAACTCCTAGAGCAGATAATCAGTGAGAACAATTAATTACATGGATAAGCTAAACTCGGTCAGACAGCATGGTATGGACGTTTCATACGCTCAGGAATCGTCATCAGTGCGCATATTCCATCTGACCTCTAAGGGGCTAGAACCCGCAATCCGACTGTTACCAGTCAGTGGTGAGGACCACAGAGTCTACGGGGGCTGGTGACGAACGACGTGACTAGGTTAATAGATGTGATATAGAGTCACTCACTCTTTAATGACTTGCATGTTATTGCCGTAGAGAACAGGGCGAAGTCAGCAAACACAAGCCACCAAGCAACTTATGTTAATACAAAAGGGTTACCCTGTCCTCTGCACTGCAGTAACGCGCAAGTTAGTGGATAGTGAGCGACTCTATATCAAATCTATTAACCGAGTCACGTCAGTCCTCACTGTCCCCCGTAGCCCAGTGGTATTCACCACGGACAGGTAACAGTCGGATTTCGGGTTCCAGCTACCAAGAAGTCAGATGGAATATGAGCACCGTTGACAATTCCCGACAGGATGAAACAGCAATACAGTGCTGTTCCGGCTGTCTGACTAAGTCTAGATGTGGCGACCTTCTACCTACACCGTTCCACACCCCTAAATAATCCTTTGTAATTACAGGAAGAGAAAGATAAAAAAGAAGGACTGAATACAGCAGCGGTGCAAAAGTATTATGTGCGGATGCTTTGCTAACATGCGACAGTGAGTAGTGGTGTGTGGGCAGGGATACTGTCAGGGCAACTAAATGTAACAAAGAGCAGGCAGTGGAAAAACGGACGCTTAGACTGAGAGCAAAATTCCTGAGACATTACATAACAAATCCAGCGTCGATGGAGAATCCCAAACTAAATGGTGAAAACCGGAGAGAAACAGCTACGTCAAAATACCACAGCGAATGAACAAAGTTAACAGAACAAAGAACAATGAACCACTGGTTAGAGTGGAAATTACACAAACACAAAAGCAGCAGAATGTACATCATTACAAAATCGTAAAAAGAGCAAATTCATCTGCCAAAAACCTGGCAAGATAGGAAAACTGATGACGCATTTTAAATGCATTCGAGAGGGGGGGAAACAAGGGGAAAAAGTAAACAGATCGGAAAAACTGGGGATGCGAGCAGGATACAATGAAAAATAAACGACAACAATCACAATTCAAGGTCCCCGGAGTGCGCGATGGATGAACATTTGAAAGAAAAACACAAATAAAAAAGGAAAAATAAAGTGTTATAAGAAAGGATTAGTTTATCAACAGCCAAAGAGGAAAAAACATTTCCCGATTGATTTCAATTGCAACGCAAATCGTTTAATACTTTACTCATTAGCTTCCCTCCGTAATGTAGAAAATTTAATCAAATACCCATCTAAATTTAATCCAGACCGTACTAAGGAGTCAGCCGTGGACCTCGCATGAGAAACCTTACGTATGTGTGGGCGGTGCAAATTTTCAGGGTCATTACGCCCAATGGCCTGAGCGGGACAACGTGATAGCCAAACAGCAGACATCACACGAGCTTGGAATACGGGGGCATAAGTTTAGTTCCGTAACATCAAGGTGATTTAGCGCATCTGACTTATAAGTAGAAACGTTCATACGCTTGCGATGGTCCGTCTCTGGTCAGCGGAGTTTTCACTTCTACTTTCCTCCAGTTTGGTTGCACGGGAACCGTACGCAGCGGGCAAGGTGAAAAGAAAATGTTTCTCATAGTTCACCTACCAAGTTTGTCTTTAATTTGATTTATATGGTTTGTTAACCATTAGATCCCATTACGCGCGATGGGAAGAAGTGGAACATACGCCCGTCATCAGTTTGATGAAGAGGGCTACGACTGGTTACAGGTAAATGTGAAGACATCTAGGAGCTGGAGTAGGACATTGGCATTGAATGAGCCGACAAGAGATCGTAGCATGTTGCGTCGAAAGTATCTGTCAGGGAGTCACGTGGATTGCTTAGTGGAATGGATGGAATCGAACCCTACGGTTACTTTGGAAACTCTTCGCTTACGATTGTAGGTGGTTCGAGGTGGACGTGAGCGTCAGCACAATCGCTCGCTACCTAGACGGTTGCCTCATGACAATGAAGAAATTACATGCGGTACTGGAATCCATGAATACGATGGATAGCAAAAGGCTAAGGAAGGCGTACGTGTTGAAGTTGGATGCAGAAGGACGGCGAGCGGTATGCATAGATGAGACGAACTTTAATCTGTTCTGTGCTCGCACAAGGACGTCCAGTACGTGGCACCCGTGCCACGGTGCCAAACACTCAGGGACAAAATCTGAACCTGATTAGTGCGATGAATGAGGATGAATTGCTCGGATATTCTGTCCTAAGAGGCAGTTATATCAAAGAAAGATGTGCGCGGTGGTTGCGGCGACTGCTTGATATCAATGGCATCCATTTCGCCGAAAGTTGTCTCCTTATTTATGGTAACGTACCCTGTCACACCGATCTGTAGTGTACTTCCAAGAGGAGCCTTACAGCTCAGAAAGACTTCTACGACTGGCACCGTATTCTCCGCAACTGAACCCGCTCGAAGGTATTTGGAGTAACATTAAGGTCTACGTTAAACAAACCATGAGGCGGCGATATTCCAAAATGCTCCGAGGGGATTCGGATGGCGTACTGAGCAAGACTGAATGGAGGATACAATTCTTGGAGTAGGTTGTTTCAGAAGCACATGCCTGCGTGACGCTACACCACTGTCAACTAATGGTGCAACATGTACGAACTAACTATACGCGTGCATTGCACCTACTCGATCTGTAACCCGTTCAACACCACAGATGTATTTTTCGTTAACGGTCACTGATGTTTTTCTTTAAAAGCAATGTGGGGCCACCCCGAGTGGGGTATATCGTGGTTTTCAGTTGGAATTGCCGCTGGCTCTGTGAAGGTTCACTCGGGGATAGCAATAGTTACTGTAAACTACGATTACAGTGAGTTCTCGCTGCAGTGATAGACCACGTGTTGTTAACCGGTCGTTATGTAGTACATTGAGAGCAACCGATACTACGAAGACATGTCACACGCCGTTCCAACTAACTTAAGCGAAATTGTACACGTTCCTGGGCGTATATCATAGATACTGGTTACCATAGGCATCGGTGATTTGCTGTGTGATCAATGCATACGACCCGGCTGAGAGTCCCTCCATCAAAATGGGCTACGGTCAAAGTTCATCTGATGCTGGCGGGCACTCCGCTTAGAGGAATGTGGACACCAGCCTCATCAACGCAGCGCGAGACTGGCGATAAACTCGGTGTGTTTACACAACCTGGGTTTCAGCCGTCTAATTTCTGACGCCGGCGGGCGACGCTCTGTTGGTTGAGTTTGCTAAATGATTCATGAGGGTTTTCACACACATGGGACAGTGAAACATGTGTTGGGAGATCAAATTGGCAGGTAGCTTTTTAACCATTCGCGACCAGCTTTCGAGAAATATGCTCTGAAATCCTTGTGGACAGTGTTCGCTCAGTTCGGCAAACGTACTCGCAAATCGCAATTAAAGTGAAATAGGTAAATGATTGAGGCGGGAACTCGAGAGTCTGGCCTGTCCAGGTTGGATCTAAACAGCAACTTGTCACCTTCTTGCAAAATCACAAGCTCAGAGACGTAGTAACATTATTTCGTAGATTGACGGTGACGACCTCGGAATCTCCTATCCTTTTGGTCGCCTTTGAATGATAGCGTTATGAACACTTTTTCTTAGGGACGTCGGGCACCCGTGCATTCCTAGTACTCGCGTTCGCCTTTGAGTGCCATACTGTGAACTTCTCTGGATATCCGTTGTCAAGGAAACTCGTTGCAGCTACAGAACTTCCGCCCCCCTAGAGCTTGAGTAACGAAAATGAACCCTCGATATGTGCCATCTGACATGAGTAGCTAGTTTAGAAGGAGGAATAACTGCACGTACCAAACGTGTGCGCTTATGTGACAAGTTCTGGTTAGGGAACACTGGAGCCGCACATCAGTTGAATGGGTGGAGTGCTCTGTGGCGGAGTTGGTTCAGCATCAGTGTCGAGAGTCTGTTGCGGTGACTGGAATTCGACGTAGGCTGGTTACAGGCGATTCATACTGGTAGAGTCCGATACGAAATACGTCTCTCGGCGAGAGGTGACTTTGAAAAGGCCTTCGTAAGGCGGTGTCGAATGCTTGCGAATCGTATCGATGCGCACGGAAACGTAGGGGCACGTGTGCAAGTCAGGGTGAATGTAGTGGTTTCGAGAAGTGAATCGCGGTGGCGTTAAACGAATGGCGCGGAAGTATTGTTCCAGTCGTGCAACACATAACGCAGGAACGACTTCTCCGGTGACCCTGGAATCTAGTACTAATTCTCCAAGAAGTTTCAGTGTCGTAAGGAAGACTAATTCTGTGGGACAATAACCGACATCTTCCTTCACAGTGTTGCGGATACCGAGGAGAATGATCGGTAAACGTTCCGACCACTGGATATTCGATTGCGTCACAGTGAGTGCGGCTTTGACTTGGCGGTGAAAACGCTCGACTAAACCGTCAGCAGCCGGCTGATATGCTTTCGTGTGTAAATGAGAACAGCCAATCATTCGGACCGTCGATGTAACGAACGTCCACGCAGTTGCGTATGTATCTGCCGCAGTACTTGACTATGTCGAATGATCGGCGTAGACTACTGACAACAGGTGGCATGGGGTGGTCCAGGATCGCTTGGGTCTCATCCGGAAGAGGTTTGATGTCATCACCATCCACCCTGTGACACAGAAAGGATGGGCTCACCAAATGTGCATTTGTCTGTGTTGTTGGTTATTTCGTGATGCGCAAAGGGTACAAAACGATTCGGATGTCTAATATATGCTCATCAAGGTTCGCGCTTGCTAGCGAAACAGTTTATGCAAACGTATACAAATCTATGCCACGGAGGACCTGCTCCATTCATATTGGCGATGGTAAAAAATAAGGAAAACTTACGTCGTCACCCTAGAGTTAAGATAAGTAGTTTCTAGATTTACGTTGCGATTTTAATTTTTTTGGCCGCCTGTAGCATTGGGCTAGCTGGTTGGAGGAGGCGTTTCTCCGAAGAACGTGGTAGAACGCTGACTTCCGCACCAGTCAAATAAGTACAGTAGCCGACTTATGATCGGATCGACCTCACATTCAAACTGCTGAGTCAAATCGCATCAAACCTCTTCCGGATGAGACGTTCGTTACATCGACGGTCCTAGCAACATTGTTGCTGATGCATTATCACGTGCTCATCTGAACCAACTGTCACCGACACCATCAACCTGGAGAGAATATCTGCCGCGCAAGCCAGTGATCCCGAGTTTATCCAACTCCGATCAAATGACTTATTAAAATACGTGCATTTACCGTCCTTACGGATCGTAAGCCTTTTACTTTTGCTTTTCTTGGTTCCTCTGATCGCTTTTCACTTCGAGAAATTCAGTTGGAATACATGACATAGTTTGCCACCGACATTCGACACTTTGATGCAACTCAGTGTTGTAGTCAAAGCATTGCGCCAAACAATCAAGCTAGAAGACATCGCTGCTCATCAAGAAACAGCTACTGGGTTTGAGTAGTTGAAATCAAATCCTTCTATTAAACTTTATCAACTGCCTGTTCTCAACTCGAACTCTCGAAGTTACTATGATATATCCACCGGAATGTCTCGACCATTTGTTCCGAAACAGTATCGCCGCGTTGCGTTTGATCACTTGTATGGAATCTCCCATCCGAGCAGCCGCGCTAGCATCAAGCGGAGTGCGGACCGCCACATCTGGCCCATCATGCGCTCTGCTATCCGGCAGTGGGCAAAACACTATTACCTACCATAGTAGCAAGATACGTCGCCACACGAATACTGTTCCTGGAACCTTTTCTTTGCCCGACGCTTGATTCAAGCATGTCCATGTCGACACCTTTGGACCTCTACCGCCACCCAACGGTTTTATTTACGTGCTGACATGTGTCGATCGCTTCACACGTTGGCCACACGCGGTGCCGCTGCGAGGAGTCTCAGCCGAGACGGCGGCACACACTCATCGAAACTTGAATATCCGTGTTTAGTACCCTGCCATTATCACCACGGATAGAGGGCACCGATCTAATTCTTCGCTGTTTCGCGACCTTAATCGCATGGTTGGCTGTTCTCATTTACACACGAAAGCATATCAGCCGGCTGCTGACGGTTTAGTCGAGCGTTTTCACCGCCAAGTCAAAGCCGCACTCACTGTGACGCAATCGAATATCCAGTGGTCGGAACGTTTACCGATCATTCTCCTCGGTATCCGCAACACTGTGAAGGAAGATGTCGGTTATTGTCCCACAGAATTAGTCTTCCTTACGACACTGAAACTTCTTGGAGAATTAGTACTAGATTCCAGGGTCACCGGAGAAGTCGTTCCTGCGTTATGTGTTGCACGACTGGAACAATACTTCCGCGCCATTCGTTTAACGCCACCGCGATTCACTTCTCGAAACCACTACATTCACCCTGACTTGCACACGTGCCCCTACGTTTCCGTGCGCATCGATACGATTCGCAAGCATTCGACACCGCCTTACGAAGGCCTTTTCAAAGTCACCTCTCGCCGAGAGACGTATTTCGTATCGGACTCTACCAGTATGAATCGCCTGTAACCAGCCTACGTCGAATTCCAGTCACCGCAACAGACTCTCGACACTGATGCTGAACCAACTCCGCCACAGAGCACTCCACCCATTCAACTGATGTGCGGCTCCAGTGTTCCCTAACCAGAACTTGTCACATAAGCGCACACGTTTGGTACGTGCAGTTATTCCTCCTTCTAAACTAGCTACTCATGTCAGATGGCACATATCGAGGGTTCATTTTCGTTACTCAAGCTCTAGGGGGGCGAAGTTCTGTAGCTGCAACGAGTTTCCTTGACAACGGATATCCAGAGAAGTTCACAGTATGGCACTCAAAGGCGAACGCGAGTACTAGGAATGCACGGGTGCCCGACGTCCCTAAGAAAAAGTGTTCATAACGCTATCATTCAAAGGCGACCAAAAGGATAGGAGATTCCGAGGTCGTCACCGTCAATCTACGAAATAATGTTACTACGTCTCTGAGCTTGTGATTTTGCAAGAAGGTGACAAGTTGCTGTTTAGATCCAACCTGGACAGGCCAGACTCTCGAGTTCCCGCCTCAATCATTTACCTATTTCACTTTAATTGCGATTTGCGAGTACGTTTGCCGAACTGAGCGAACACTGTCCACAAGGATTTCAGAGCATATTTCTCGAAAGCTGGTCGCGAATGGTTAAAAAGCTACCTGCCAATTTGATCTCCCAACACATGTTTCACTGTCCCATGTGTGTGAAAACCCTCATGAATCACTTAACATAATCAACCAACAGAGCGTCGGCCGCCTGAAGCATCAGCAATTAGGCGGCCGAAACCCAGTTTGTGTAAACAAACCGAGTTTATCGCCAGTCTCGCCCTGCGTTGGTGAGGCTGGTGGCCACATTCCTCTAGGCGGAGTGCCGGCCAGCATCAGATGAACTTTGACCGTAGCCCACTTTGATGGAGGGACTCTCGGCCGGGTCGTATGCATTGATCATACAGCAAATCACCGACGCCTATGGTAACCAGTATCTATGATATACGCCCAGGAACGTGTACAATTTTGCCTAAGTTAGTTGGAACGGCGTGTGACATGTCTTCGCACTATCGGTAGCTCTCAATGTACTACATAACGACCGGTTAACAACACGTGGTCTATCACTGCAGCGAGAACCCACTGTAATCGTAGTTTACAGTAACTATTGCTATCCCCGAGTGAACCTTCACAGAGCCAGAGGCAATTCCAACTGAAAACCACGGTGTACCCCACTCGGGGTGGCCCCACATTGCTTTTAAAGAAAAACATCAGTGACCGTTAACGAAAAATACATCTGTGGTGTTGAACGGGTTACAGATCGAGTAGGTGCAATGCACGCGTATAGTTAGTTCGTACATGTTGCACCATTAGTTGACAGTGGTGTAGCGTCACGCAGGCATGTGCTTCTGAAACAACCTACTCCAAGAATTGTATCCTCCATTCAGTCTTGCTCAGTACGCCATCCGAATCCCCTCGGAGCATTTTGGAATATCGCCGCCTCATGGTTTGTTTAACGTAGACCTTAATGTTACTCCAAATACCTTCGAGCGGGTTCAGTTGCGGAGAATACGGTGCTAGTCGTAGAAGTCTTTCTGAGCTGTAAGGCTCCTCTTGGAAGTACACTACAGATCGGTGTGACAGGGTACGTTACCATAAATAAGGAGACAACTTTCGGCGAAATGGATGCCATTGATATCAAGCAGTCGCCGCAACCACCGCGCACATCTTTCTTTGATATAACTGCCTCTTAGGACAGAATATCCGAGCAATTCATCCTCATTCATCGCACTAATCAGGTTCAGATTTTGTCCCTGAGTGTTTGGCACCGTGGCACGGGTGCCACGTACTGGACGTCCTTGTGCGAGCACAGAACAGATTAAAGTTCGTCTCATCTATGCATACCGCTCGCCGTCCTTCTGCATCCAACTTCAACACGTACGCCTTCCTTAGCCTTTTGCTATCCATCGTATTCATGGATTCCAGTACCGCATGTAATTTCTTCATTGTCATGAGGCAACCGTCTAGGTAGCGAGCGATTGTGCTGACGCTCACGTCCACCTCGAACCACCTACAATCGTAAGCGAAGAGTTTCCAAAGTAACCGTAGGGTTCGATTCCATCCATTCCACTAAGCAATCCACGTGACTCCCTGACAGATACTTTCGACGCAACATGCTACGATCTCTTGTCGGCTCATTCAATGCCAATGTCCTACTCCAGCTCCTAGATGTCTTCACATTTACCTGTAACCAGTCGTAGCCCTCTTCATCAAACTGATGACGGGCGTATGTTCCACTTCTTCCCATCGCGCGTAATGGGATCTAATGGTTAACAAACCATATAAATCAAATTAAAGACAAACTTGGTAGGTGAACTATGAGAAACATTTTCTTTTCACCTTGCCCGCTGCGTACGGTTCCCGTGCAACCAAACTGGAGGAAAGTAGAAGTGAAAACTCCGCTGACCAGAGACGGACCATCGCAAGCGTATGAACGTTTCTACTTATAAGTCAGATGCGTTAAATCACCTTGATGTTACGGAACTAAACTTATGCCCCCGTATTCCAAGCTCGTGTGATGTCTGCTGTTTGGCTATCACGTTGTCCCGCTCAGGCCATTGGGCGTAATGACCCTGAAAATTTGCACCGCCCACACATACGTAAGGTTTCTCATGCGAGGTCCACGGCTGACTCCTTAGTACGGTCTGGATTAAATTTAGATGGGTATTTGATTAAATTTTCTACATTACGGAGGGAAGCTAATGAGTAAAATATTAAACGGTTTGCGTTGCAATTGAAGTCAATCGAGAAATGGTATAGACAACCCTGATAAATAACGACCATTTTGATACCGCAGGTGGCCTGGACGTCTTCTATTGTGGAACGGTAAGAGTGATTTTGATCGATGCGGATGAGGATTGAAAACGGGTTCACATGTGCAGCTGCAGGAAAATCCCACAAATGGGATTTGTCAGAGGAATAACAGGCGCAATCAAACTTACAAGCTTTCGTGAGCTGTAACTGCACACGACGTTTGAGAAGTTCCTGTGGAGTGAGGTGTATCCCATCGACCGGGACGGACCCAGAAGCGGGCTGTAGATACGAAGAAAAGAAAGATGGGGGAGTTGGCGCATTCTTTAAGCAAAATGCACGGTGAAATATGGAATTGCAGGATGTGTCGGATGGAAGCAGCTGGGGCCTAGTGTCCAGATAATTGGAGTTGATAGTTGAGACGCAAAGGTTTCGTCAACAAATAAGATAACGGCAGCAGAGCGAGTCAGTACATAATCATAGTTCGAAGTGAGGATGTAGCGTCACTCAGTGATGAAATGTTTTCGATCCAGTCAGTGATTATCACGGAAATGTGACGTATTTGCAAGCACCTGACATATTTGTTAACAATTCGTGTGGGAGAAATCGAGATTAGAGCCTAACCTGAATGAACCAATTCCATTACCCACCGGTTCCATTTTGTTGTGGTTCCGAAAAAGTGATTTTGTCAAACAACGTAGACTCAGGTTAGGGCAATTGTAGTTGAGGAGAAAGTCCCAAGAATGACTTCTATTGTTTCTAGATAAGAACCCGAGCGTATGAGACACCCAACCAGTTACTGCTGTCTGCGGACAGCTGTGTGTTGGATGCAAACAGCAAACATAAGTTGCAAAGTGTGGTGACGGATCTCGCATGGACGGCGGTCAAGTTCGAACTCACCAACAACATAGACCGTATGTCCACCTAATCCGTCAACAGGAATGGACTCCGGGTGCTACCCGGATTGGTCCAATCCTGCTTCGGGCTGAAGGGTCCAAAAGAATATGGAAATGATCGCAGGGTGCAATTTTAGGTGATCAGTGACGGTGCACTCACCGTGCTGGACAAAAATGACAAGTCGGGGTTCACAGCCCTTGTTGATCATGGTTAGGAGCAAACGTTGTTTAGTAACGGTGTTTAGCAACCGCGCAGATCGTGTGATAAGCGTGGAGTGGCATCACGCAGTGCCGCATCGGCAAGAAATGGTAGTCTCTTGTAAAATCAGAGTGCTGTCACAGAGTTGACGGATAAGTTAAGAAAGCCCAAAGGATGTAACGAAATGGAAAGCGGGCGAGATCGGGGTACTTATGGTGCGAACGGAGGCCATCTAGTTCACAAAAAACGCCGATGCAAATGCTGTACTCTGGAAATAGCCTACATGGACGCAAAAGAATCACATCATATGCAGGAACTGACAAGTAACCAGATAGCGAGATCTATCCCCCTACATCAGAAAGCCTAGTGACCACAGTGATCTCGTGGAGGGCTATAGAAGATAAATCGGTGCCCAAAAGTACGCAAACGATTCGGTCACCGTATCCTTGACCATACAGAGGTAATGATATGGACTAGATGGAGAGGCACACTGACTTTGGTGAAATTGCTGTGGCTATCACCGTCTGTGTGGGAGGATGTCGCCATCTTACCCGCGAAGGCCCCGGCTCCACTGTTATCCGGTCGGCTGAGAAGGGAGAAAGAAGGAAAATGACGAATATAAATTTGTTAACCGAATGAGTGAAGTAATAAGATTGTCTAACAATGGCTGATACGAGCGCCAGCATGGAGACTTATGGAAAGTGAACAATTATATAACACAAATAATGACTTGGATCGCCATTTTCATAGACCACAGTGACATGAATAAGGTATACCGGTATTTCACTGGTCTATATCTCAGAGGTAAGAAATGATCTTGCTGGGAAAACGAGCACAGAGTGAATCGATGTGGTACACGAACGGCCTAATTAAATATCGAAGCACACGCACTAGGTTAGAGCAACAAAATTCCTGTCTCTTCGTAGCAAAGTGGGAAAGCGAGGAGAACAGGGGTTACAGTTAGTTCACAGTAAAGGGACTTCGTGTGATCCCCACACCTACATGTTGACTAGATGAATTGACAGGCAATGGGTGTAGTCAGCAAGTGAACTAGGTGCCACACGAAGGAGTTTTGGCAGAGAAAGAACATGATTGCATCGGTTGTCTGACACAAGCTTGGACTCTGAAAAGCGTTTGCACTTCAATTCTCACTGACATCAGGACCGAAGTTCGATAGTCAAAATAGCTACCGAATCAGTATGTAGCTTCAAACGACGTGGATGGAACAAACGGCTGGACTGATGAAAACAGATAACATCAACAACGGATTAAAGTAGCCGCTAAGATTGGAGACATCGGCGATAGGTAAAGTGGTGAAGATTGATAGACCAGACGAATGAACCCGACGCGTGGCCAGAGAACAGAAAACCAACCAACGTTACCCACGCGAATCGACCACAAATGCCAGAGCTCAAATTAGGTCCTAGAAGAGGGGTGTATAGATGTGACGGAGAGTAGGCATGGATCATTGAGCTCACGCGAGATATATCATACCACTCAAAAACTCCACAGGCAGGCCAGCAGACATGTTCTGAGAGGGTGAAGTAGTAAAAATTATCGATCGTCGCATGCAGAGGCACACTTGTGAATAGGAAGTTCATTTCTGTGGAGTACATGGGCTCCGCACTCAGCAACGATTGCTCCAGTGTCTCTCGCGCTCCGAAAACATACGATTTGAGGGGACAGCAAATAAACACGTCCAGGTAGAACTGACCGTCAGTTAGTTCAAAGGGTAGCTAAACATTTGGCAAAGTGATTGGGATAAGAGATTAAAGCAACAAAACGGAGCGGATGGGAGGATGAAGCAGAGCCCAGCATCATCTATCTTCCGAGTACCCATTAGAAATGCCTGTTAACAATGTGAAAATGAGAAACACCCTAAGGCTGAAGTTGAAAACAAAAAAGACTATAAAACCGTCCGATGGCACTGCTATAAACCCACCCGATACTACTGTAAAAAAGGCACGTCCATCGTCTAAATTCTAAAAAAAATTTGGATGTAACTGCGAACCACTCCAACTTTACTGCCACAATTCCGACTGAAACGACAAACCGGATTATAGCCCTTGAGGAAGAAGTAGCCACGCTGAAATGCAAGCTTCATGAAATCAACACGGATTATGAACAAGTCCTAACATTCTGTGAACTGCTTAGAGGTTCAGCAACTGTTACACTAGACCGACTGAGCACAGCTGCTTCCTTACTAAACTCAATTGCATCCGAAACGCAAGAACGCCTCCGTAGATCGCATAATGTTATCATTGTTAACGTGCCAGATAAACCGAACATGGACCAAGTAACAAATACTCACTTAAAAGCATGCAACATGGATGGAGTCTCCTGTCAATGCCTCAAACTGAGGAAAAAGGAAAACATGACCATATGTCCGATACACCTATAGTTTCCAGACGACAGGAGCGCATCCAAATTCGTACGCAGTAAGACTAGTTGTTGCACAAACTAATTTCAAATACATTATGATCAAACACGACCCAACGCCTCATTAAAGGCCAGGAACAATGAAACTAAACCCATCCTCCTATCATACACCCCATGTTCCTACTATTGAAGACAGTACTGACGCTGTCATTAGCAACGTCGACCTTGATAAGTCAATCGCGTCGTCTAAAATAAGTGATGACGGGCATCTCAGACTTCAGCGGCCTCATGAGAGGTTCTCAAACAGCAATAGTGATGTCTTCAGACCTAAAAATGCCAATCAAGCTGAAATTATAACGACGCAGACACCTGCTGACCACACACCCAACTCCTTTGTCCCTTCTCCAAGCTGCGAGCCTTTACAAAAATTGACAATAACTGTATCTGAGACCTATCAAAAGCGAGACAATTCAGATCGTCACGTTGGCATTACGAAAAACAAATCTAAAACCGACCCGAATGAAACAAGCTATGGCTGTTCTCCGACAAACCGAGGACTAGGCAAATACAGGGGAAAACACCATGCCAGAATTTCTCCCGTAAACACTCAAAGCTCAGTAGGTCTGAAGCGAACACTACAAGAATGTAGAGATATGCAGCTAAGCCAAATGAGAATAAGTGTACGTCCTCAAGCTTTCACATGCAACACCGACGCTGTTGTCGGGATAAGTTGCAGAGAGCCGGCCCAATAATTACCCACAATGTCTCTGAATACGATTCCAAATCCCGCAACCACAAACTGGCAAAATCCTTAGGTGTGCGATACCGAAATAGCAAAGAAAATGGTGTTGGACCACACGGACTTACAGGTAAGAGGGTGCAACTCCTATCTACCTCAAGTTAAAATGTACTCATCACCACCCCCTGTATTACTCAATTGGTAATACAATAAGACGAAAAACGATTTTGTAGATTTCAGCATCCCCTACCCCTGAATACTATGGATATAGGTCTTTTTTTAGACTATCGTATACCACCACATCCTAACCCACCAACCCAGCCCCTATCACGTGCGATTATGAATCAGAGAGTAATCAAACTGCTAGAGTATGTACTTCATTCAACCCAGTAAGATGTAGAGCTCAGTGTACCACAATTACCTCACAACACAGAGGTCTTAGATACAATGACGAAGAAACAAATTCTACCCACCACTTCCATTCCAATGTAACAATGTCTTTCAAGTCTGTCGTCATTAACAATGGTGTACTTTTGCATAAATTAGATTTACTTTCGACACTTCTGTTTAGGAGAACCCCCGATATTGCTTTTACCACTGAAACTTGGTGCAGGTCAGAAATTAGTGATTCCCAGCTTAACATCTTAGTCTATAAACGTTTCCGCAAGGATCGCTCACACAAATGTGGTGGTGGCAGTGCCATATATCTTCGAAATAACCCGAGTGCAATTCCCGCAGATCAACCTGTTTAATGACTTAGACGATACACTATGGCTAGTGATCCGATCTACTGATCTTATGGTGGGTTGTATCTATCGGCCGCCTTGAACCACTAAATGGGAAAACCAAAAGTTAATCGATATGATCAGTGCTGCTTTCAGCACCACATACAAATCCAAAATTATGTGTGGATTTCAACCCACCACATGTTAACTAGATGTTGCCTACACTCAGAAACATTGCGGGGATTGAGGAAATCATCACATGTATTCACCTCAATGGCTGGACCCAGCACGTTAGAGAGCCAACCAGAAGCGCCACTAATCTAGATCTTGTACTTACGATGGGGATCTCTTACGCTCATATATTCATTGATAATCCACTACCGGGCTGCGATCACAACACGGTGCATTGTGATATGACAACGGATTCACCTAAACGACCAAGTAAAATGTTAAAGGCCAATTGCAACTGCCATCGTGAGGACTGCAACACATTTAATGAATTTACCAGTACCATGAATTGGAATACGTCATTCCTTACTCACAACCCTGCTGTGGCTACAAATAAGATTATGAACAATATCGCCCTTGGTGTGGATCTACTGGCACCTACTGTATGGAGAAATACCCACGAACATAGTGGTAAATTCAAGCTTCTGTACAAAGCCAAAACCAAACCAAAGAAACTAAAATCGCTGTATCGCAGGAACAACAGCTTCGTAACGTTGCTACAAATACACGAGAATCTGTTACATCTACAACTTCTAACCCAAAATGGCAAAATCAAAGAAGAGAGTTGGATACTTAGAAATCCTGAAAAAGTACGTGCATTGATATAACTACTCAAAAGAAGGAACTCTAAACCCCATCAGGAAATTGAAACGTCTGCTCTAGACGATGGTTCAATAACGCGCGACATCACCTGCATATGCGAGGCTATCAACCATAGTTTCGCCTCCCGATTTGTCCCCAACACTCAGCCGTTTCATCCTAAACTTCCAAAAATACGACCGAGCTATGCTGCAATATCCCTGTGACATTAAGTGAAGCGCAAAGTGCCATCGCATTCATAAAACCATCAACTCGTCCAGACCCAGATGGCATCTCCCCAACCGTTATAAAACTCGGAGGAAAAAACAACGTTCTACTGTTATTAAACATCTTCAAAGTTTCACTACCGGCTACTTTCCAACTCAATGGAAGCAATCCATTATAATGCCTAAGCACAAGAGTGGTCCGAGAAATCAAGTGCCAAGTTACCGCCCAATAAATTACGCCTCTGCTGCTTCCAAAGCTCTAGAGAGAATAGTCAAGAAGAACATCGGTCAATATCTTACAAGACTGGATCTGACCAACCTCTCACAACATGGCTTTCTCACAAAACCTCCTGCGTTACCAGTAAGCTATGACTCCTCGATCACGTCACAGCTATGATTGACAGTGGATTGGCAATCATTATAATTCTGTTGAACATGTAAAAGGCGTTAGACAGCGTGCCGCACAAGCCATTGCTGTCTGCTCTAGGGTCATATGGAATTGGAAATCCGCTGCTTAACTGGTTCGACTCATACCTAAACGGTCGTACCCAGGTACTTAGAATCGGTCAGCAATATTCTACACCGAAATAAATAATCAGGGGCGTCTTCCAGGGAAGTGTGCTCGGAACAGTACTTTTCCTAATCTACCTAAACAACATATGCGACCCGATCAAACATGGACACCCATTTCTGTTTGCAGATGACGTCA